GTAATAAACTTATTATTGATAAAATATTATCAGTAATTAGACCTGGTGAAAAGGAAGGACAAACAATGTTTAAAAAATTCTTCTATTAAATACTAGTAAATCAAATCCAACCGCACATTAAAAGAATCATTCAGCACGATCAAGTGGGATTTATTCCTGGGCTTCAAGAGTGGGTCAGTATTTGCAAATCAATCAACGTGATACACCACATTAATAAAGGAAAGGATAAGAACCATATGATCCTTTCGATAGATGCAGGAAAAAAATCATCTATCAAAAACATCAAAAAGTAAGTTGATTGTTATAAAATGGCTGAAAAGGTTGCTCAGTTGGTTTAGTCAATCATGACATTAGTAAAAAATGAAACAGTTACTTCTTTTTTTTTATTTTGGCAAGAACACTTAACATCAGATCTACCTTCTTAACAAATTGTGATCAAAAGTATTGTTATCTATAAGCACAGTGTTGTACATCAGATCTCTGGAGTTCATTCATCTTGCATAACCAAAATTTATACATGTTGTTTAGCAGCAACTCCCCATATCTCCATCCTCCTACCTAGCCCCTGATAACCACCATTCTCTTCTTTGCTTCTATGAAATTAACTATTTTAGATGCCACGTATAAGGGTAATCATGCAGTACTGTCCTTCTGTGACTAGCTTATTTCACCTAGGAAAACGCCTTCAAGTTTCCTCCACGTTGTTGCATATGGCAGGATCTTCTTTCTTAAGGTTGAATAATACCCCATTGTATGTATATATCACATTTCTTTATTCACTTATCTTTCTATGGAACTTTTGGTTGTTTCCACGTCTTGGCTATCGTGAATAATACAATGAACGTGGACTACTAATTTCTCTTCAAGATCCTGATTTCAATTCTGTTCAATAAATACTCAGAAGTGAGATTGCTCTATCATATTGTTGTTCTGTTTTTAATTTTCTGAGTGACCTCCATACTATTTTCCATAGAGGCTGCATTATTTCCCATTCCCACCAACAGTGTATAAGGGTTTCAATTTTTTCACATCCTCACCAACATTTATCTTTTATTTTTTTTATCACAGCTATTATAATAGATACGAGGTGATCTCACTGTGGTTTTAATTTGCATTTCTCTGATGATCAGTGACATTGAGCATCTTTTCATGTACCTATTGGCCATTTGTGTGTCTTTAGAGAAATGTTTACTCAAGTTTCTAGCACAAAGAAAGACAGCAAAAGAGAAAAAGAGGGATAAAAGAACTATAAAACAAACAAAAAACAGTTTTTCAAATGGCAATAGTAAATCCTACCCTATAAATAATTACTTTAAATATAAATGAATTAAACTCAAATGAAGTAAAGTTGCTGAATGAATAAAATACAAGATCTAAGTATATGCTGTCTACAAGAGACTCACTTTAGATTTAAGGACACACATAGGTGAAAGTAAAGGGATGGAAAAAATATTCCATGCAAATAGTAATGAAAAGAGAGCAAAAGTTGCTATACTTATGTCAGACAAAATAGATTTTAAGTCAAAAGCTGTCAGAAAAAAATAAAAAAGAATGTTATATAATGATAAAAGGATCAATCCATCAGGAAGATATAACAATTATAAATATATATGCATCCACATCAGAGCACTTAAATATAGAAAACAGACATTGGCAGAAAGGAGAAATGAACAAAACAGTAATGATAGGAGACTGCAATACCCTACTTTTACTACTGGATAGATCAACCAGATAGGGAATCAAAAAAAAAAAAAAAGTGGATTTGAATAACACCATGGACCTAACAGACATATACAGAATTTTTAACCCAACAACAGAATATATACATTCTTCTCAAGCGCCCATGGAACATTCTCCAGAATAGATCACATGTTAGGTTACAAAGCAAGTCTTAATAAATTTAAGAACATTGAAATAATACCAAGTATGTTTTCTGACCACAATGGAATGAAACTAGAAATCAGTTGCAGACATGGTCATGTACATAATGAAAATTTTCTTAATTAAAAAATAAAAAATAGCAGAAAGAAAACTAGAAAATTCATAAATATGTGGAAATCAAACAACACAGTTTTGCACAGCCAGTGAGCCAAAGAAAACATTAAAAGAGAAATATAAAAATATCTGGAGAAAAATGAAAACAAAAACACAACATATTAAAACTTATGGGATATGGCAGAAGCAGTACTAACAGGGAAGTTTATAGTGAAAACATCTACATTGGGGCGCCTGGGTGGCTCAGTCGTTAAGCGTCTGCCTTCGGCTCAGGTCATGATCCCAGGGTCCTGGGATCGAGTCCCACATCGGGCTCCCTGCTCAGCGGGAAGCCTGCTTCTCCCTCTCCCACTCCTCCTGCTTGTGTTCCCTCTCTGGCTCTCTTTCTCGCTCTGTCAAGTAAATAAAATCTCTAAAAAAAAAAAAAAAACCACTACATTGAAAAAGAAAGATCTCAGGGCGCCTGGGTGGCTCAGTCGGTTAAGCATCTGCCTTCAGCTCGGCTCATGATCTCAGGGGCCTGGGATGGAGCCCTGCATCAGACTCCCTGCTCAGCGGGGAGTCTGCTTGTCTCTCTCCCTCTGCCCCCCCCATTCCTGCTCATGCTCTCTCTCTCTTGCGCGCGCACAAATAAATAAAATCTTAAAAAAAGAAAGATCTCAAGTAAACAACCTAAGCCTACATCTCAAAGAACTATAAAAAAGAATAAACTAAAGAGTAAACATGATGAAACTAATTTGATTGTGTAGATGCAGCCTGAAATAAAATATGAGCAAAACCAAAATACACCACACAATTTATCTATGTGATATAAAGCATGTTAATTAAAAGTTTACATTTTTATCTTGGTGTTTGGTTTTCATATCTGTATATTTGCAGATTGAATTATTATCCTTTTTTAAATATTTATTTATCTGAGAGTAAGAGAGAGAAAGAGAGAGAGAGAGAGAGCTCGAGCACAAGCAGGGGGCGCGGCAGGCAAGGGAGAAGCAGGCTCCCCGCTGAGCAAGGAGCCTGATGCGGGACTCGATCCCAGGACCCTGGGATCATGACCTGAGCCGAAGGCAGATGCTTAACTGACTGAGCCACCCAGGCGCCCCTGAATTATTATCTTATTTTAGATTTTCTTTCATATGCATATTTTGTGTTTGTTAAGACAAATATTCCTTTTAACCTACTGGCATACCTCTTTTTATTGTATTTTGTTTTATTGTGCTTCACAGATACTGTAATTTTTTTTTTTTTTTTTTTTTTTTTTACAAATTGAAGGTTTGTGGCAACCCTGTGTCACATTTTGGCATTTTTCCAATAGTATTTGCTCACTTTGTGACTCTGTATCTCATTTTGGTAATTCTGACAATATTTTAAACTTTTTCATTATTATTATATTATGGTGACTGTGATCGGTGATTACGACTCACTGAAAGCTAAGATGATGGTAAGCATTTTTTAACAATAAAGTATATTTAAATTAAGGTATATAAATTTTTATATAATGCTATTGCACACTTAATAGACTACAGTTTAGTGTAAACATAACTTTTATACCCATTATGAAACCAAAAAATTTATTTGACTCATTTTATTGAGATATTCACTTGATTGTGTTCTGGAACCAAACCTGCACTCTTTGAGGTATGCCTATATTTACATGTATGTGTATTAATGGAAGATATTCTTTAATTTTTGTATATTTATATGAGACTAGCTTTCCTCTAAAAGCCCAGAGCTTTTAAAGATATTCCATATTGAAATTTAATGATGCTCTTTAAAGAAAATTGTTGATGACTATAAATGGTGACAATTTTCTTTGATTCCCATCTTTCATATCTTTATGGAATCTGTTATATGTTTACAGAATGATAAAATAGTAAATATGAAGAATTTATTCCTTTATAAAACTATCCTGACACAATAATATCTAAGTAAAATAGTGAAGAAAAGTCCCTGTTAAAAACTTGACAAAGAAAATTAGACTTAAGCATGCTGCACTGGACGTCTTTGAGATTCTTCCAAAATTTGTACTGTGTGAGTGAGAACTTCAGTGCTTTGTAACTACCCATTCACTAATTCAGTGTAGGTAATTCTTGAATAGAAGTACCTGTCTTTGTTACTTGGATAGAGAGTATTCGGAAACAAGTAGAGATTAGGTATTGTGGGTATTATGCTTATATTGATAAATGTGCTTTGAGTTGGTCCCTGGAGGTGACATCTTTGTTTACCTACACATATTCATTCCTCACCTTTTTTAATGGGCTCAAATTTTCATTAGCACACCACTTCTCTCATACAGTCACGTGTCTGGGAGGAATTTGACCACTAGCTCTAAGGGTGTGTCCAGAGTTAGTCTAATTGAACCCAATAAACCTATGTCCCTGGCCACAGTGATTGGTTCAAGATTGAGCCTGAATCTTTATACCCTGGAGTCACTGGATCAACTAACCTTGAAGCCTCTTCTTCTGGACTCTCAATTATACAAGCAAATGAATTTTCTTGTTGTATAAACAAAAATGACTTTTACTATCTGTTACTTGTAACTTTGTTACTTACTGCTTTATATTTTTTTAAAGCTATGTTATCAAGTGAATGTAAATTCAGAATCTTTATCTTTTTAATAAATTTTCTTTTATGATTATATAGTAACCTTCTTTATTTCAAGTAATGCTTGAGATCTACTTTGCCTGACACAAATACAAATAAACCATCTTTCTTTTAGTTTTGCTGGTCATTGATCATCACTTTACTTTCATCTTTTCTGTGACAGGCTATTGTACCTGCTTTATAACCTACAAAACTCTGCAACATGTTCGTAAAGCTTGTATTAGCCTATTCGGGCTGCCATAACAAAAATACCTCAGACTAGGTGGTTTAACAACAGGAATTTGTTTCTCATGGTTCTGGAGTCTAGAAGTCCAAAATCAAGGTGTTGGTAGGTTTGGTTTCTTCTGAGGCTTCTCTCGCTGGTTTGCAGATGGTTGCCCTCTTGCTGCCTCCCTCTTCACATGGTTGTCTCACTGTGCACGCACACTCCTGCTGTCTGTGTGTCTTCAGCTCCTTTAAAAAAAACAAAATGGATTTACTTATTTAAAATTTTTATATTTGAATATAGTCGACACACAACGTTACGTTAGTTTCAGGTGTACAACACAGTGATTCCACTTCTCTATAGGTTGTGCCATGCGCACAAGTGTCCCCATACAATGCTATTATGATGTCACGGACTATACTCCCTATGCTGTGCCTTTTATTTCCGTGACATTCTTTCCATAACTGGAAGTCTGTATCTCCCACTCCCCTTCGCTCATTTTGCCCGTCTCCCGACTCCCTTCCCCTCTGGTCACCATTGGTTTGGTCTCTGTATTTATGGGTCTGATTCTGCTTTTTGTTAAACTCCTCTTCTTACGAAGACACCAGTCAGAATGGATTAAGGCATATAACAGCCTCACTTTAACTTAATCACTTCTTTAAAGATCCCATTTCCAGACGGAGTCATATTCTGAGGCACTGGGAATTAGGGCTTCAACATATGACTTTTGGGAGAACATAATTCAGTCAAAACAAAGCCCAGTGTTAAGATGGCATTATTATAAGAGACAAGAGAGCAGAGGCAGGAACAATGACACAGAGCAGGCAGGAGGATGGCATGTTAGGCTTCCATTATCTTACAGCTTCTCCAGTTCATATGATTCTCTAAGGGCCAATAAACTTCCAAGCATTGGACTGAGAAATGTGCTTTGCCACTACTTTGGTCTGGACCTGAAGGGTGGGAGCCAGTATATTATACTAGTTAATAATTCATAGCTTCAAGTTTAACATTTTCTTATTACCAACATACCTTCTATTTTCTTTTAAGACAATCTTCCTTAACCTTAACTTCCTAATTAGATATAGACAGAAAAGAGTCATGCTCCTCAAATTGTTATGAGAATTAAATGAAATTTAAGTATATTTCTGCACATAATAAGGACTAAGTGTTTTATTGGGTGGAATGTTTGGAAAGCTGGTTCCTCAGCCTTTTATTTACACAATGGACAGGCTCCCGGTGAACAGCTTTCTATTCTAGGTCATGCCACAGCATTGTCTATGAGACATGCAGAAGGGGAAGAGTTGACCTTGTAAACTGGGGTTAGACAATATAGGGGCCCAAATACCTCCCTTATGCCAGAGCCTGTTGTGTTTCTCTATATAGATTCTTAAACCTCAGGAAGACAAAGACATTGCCTGAATTTTTTATGGTCCTATTTTCCCTTCTTATCATTATGCTTGACATGCACTAGGAGCTTGAATGAAGGAAGGAATGAATGAATGTGTGAATGAATGATAGTTATATTCCATGCATATATCCTTCTTCCCTCTAACAGTTAATAGCCCCTAGCAGACCAGGACCCTAGGTGTGGAGCCAGTGCTCCCAAGTGATTCAGCATAAATTTATGGAAAGGAAACCTATGCTTGCCTCTAACCTGACGAGTTTCAGAGAGGCGTTCTGGAGATCTTGGCCTTTGTATCTTCAGAAAAACTTTTACATACACTCCCTGAGCATCTTATATAGGTGGCCTGAGAGATATTTAAAGATTAAGTGAAGCTTCTGAAGGTGATCTAGCTAACAGGAAGAAGCAGTCAACAGATTTCCCTGGGGGCTGTGGGTTATCAAGAGGTTACTCTGGTTACTCATTTCCACTATCTAATTGAAGAACTGGAAGTGAAACCCTGTCCAATGATGTAGGCTTACCTCTTGGAAGAATTCCAGCTCCAGCACTCAACCAATTAGATTATGCCCACCCACATTGAAGAGGGAAATCTGCTTTACTCAGTTTATCAACTCAAATGCTAACCTCATCCAGAAACATCCTCATAGGCACACCCAGAAATAACATTTTACCAAAATATCTGGGCACCCTGTGGCCTTGGCAAGTTGACACATAAAATTAACCATCATGATGATTCTCATCCAAATCACCTAGTACCAAGGCATGGCATAATAAGGGATAACATGGGCAGAGGAGTAACTGTAGATGTCTAGTTGAAAACTGCAGGATGGAAGGAAGGATAAGGGAGAACACTGGGACTACCTCCTGAATCTGCCACTGTGAAGGGTTGTTCTGGCCTGACCTGGGAGGAAAGCTGAGCACCGTGAAGATCTTTTATCTTTCTTTTATCTTACATATCACCATGGAGGTGAACAAGCAAGACTCTATTCACTCATAATTTACTGTTTTCCAGAGTGGCTGCGCCAGTTTGCATTCCCACCAACAGTGCAAAAGGGTTCCCCTTTCTCCACATCCTTGCCAACACCTGTTGTTTCTTGTATTGTTGATTTTAGCCATTCGGAATCACTATATTGTACACCTGAAACTAATATTACACTGTATGTTAACTAACTGGAATTTAGATAAAAGCTTAAAAAAAAACCACTGATATCTAATAAAAAACATAATTTATTGGCTTTTCCTCAAGATAGACATTATAACTAACAAAGCCATTTTAATGAAATCCCCTGAACAAAGCAACTTTTTATTCCAGTTTCATTGGTAATAGTCCATACACTGAGGGTTTTTTTTTTTTTTTTTTTTTGGCCTCCTTTCATAGAGCAGTGCTTTTGAAATAGTAATGGCCCCTTTCTGCATGTTAAGACTACCCTTCTTTTTATTTATTCAGATGAATTCATAACCACTAATTTGTCCAGATGAGAAAACATTTATCATTAAAATCAATAAGAAAAAAATTCTCTTGTAAAGCTAGTAATATTGGACACTAAGCATTAGAAAAAGATAATATAAGCAAGGAAAATTATAGTACATGTATAATTATAGATGTAAAAATTCTAAATAAAATATTACCAAATTGAACTAACCAATATCTTATAAAGAAATAAGATCACAAAGGATTTATTCCAGAAATGAAAGCATAGTGGACTGTTAGAAAAATCTATTCATTAACTTCTGCTTATTCCTGGAAAATTGAATACACATGTTTTTTTGATCTCAGTAGAAAACCTCCTCAAATGAAAAAAAGGTGGGAAAAAAGGACAGCAGACCAAAAAAAATCTGCGCAAAATTTTGGAAGCTGGAAAACAGATGGATCTGTAATAACTCCTGAGCAGACCACAGAAACTAAACACCAAGTCCCTAAGAAACAAATTGCAGAATCCTAAAAGACTAAAAACGTGGTAGTCCTAAATACCTTCCAAGGCAAAGACCAGAGTATGGATTTGATTACTGCAGGAGTCAGTAAAAGCATCTAAAGCAGAGCCTTTAATCACCCTTATATTTTGTACTATTTGAAACAGCTAGGATTCCTACCTCACGCTCAACACTAACCCTAATTTTCTTCACACCCTCACTATATTTTACTTTTCCTGTAATAGTCATTGCATCTCATCCTACAACAGGTGGTTCATCATTCTGTGGGCATTGGAGTGGGGTAAAGTTGATAAATGTTTGTTTTAAAAATCAAGCTGCCAAAAAAAGACCACCGCAATCTAGAACTTCTCTTCTTAGGACTGGCAGACAGTCAACTGAACAGGCAGAGCAGGGGGCAAGCACAGGGTAGGAGTGGGAAGAAGCAGGCACCTGTCAAAATCCACTCAATGTTTTTAAAACCTCTGTGAAGAAGACTGGAGCATCTCTGCAGCTGTGCTTGTTTGTGCAAGTTTGAAACTTCTAAGTTTCTTCAGAATTATTGTTTCTCTGAAGGTAAAGCCCATATTTAACCATTCAAAATTGGTTGAAATAATTTGCAGTAAAGGGTGGCAACCTTATTGAAGCAGGGTATTATTGGGGCACTTAGGGCCACTTTTGACAGCAGGTGCTGAAATCCATCTCCCATCTTTCAACTAATGATAAATTTAATTACAAAAAATATTCAAGGTGCCTTTTATTGATATCCTCAGGAGTACAATGAGAGAGGTTACCTGGCACAGTGCACAATAAAACTTCATCACACTGTTTTCATCAGGCAGTCTTGCCTCCCTTCCCTGCAGTCTTATGAGATGGAAGAGTATCAGCCCCTGTCCTCCTTGAACAATCTCCTTCTCTCTAACTCTCTGTCCTAGGTGGAGCCATTTACTTCTCTCAGCTTATCACTGAATCCTCACATACATTACCCTGTTCTAGCACATAAAGAATCCTTTTTTATATCCCCCCTCTTTAAAGTATGAGAGAGTTGCATATAATGTTTTTTTTTTCATTGTCACATTGATTTTCTCATTTCCTTCTCATAACGTCAAATATAGTTCTTCTTCACCACAGGGATTTTTCAGCCAATGGCCCACAATGTCTTTTTCAACATATGGTGTAGGCTGGAGCTATGATGTTCCTGCCTAGTGCCAACAATTTCAGCAAGTCCACTTTTGCCCATGAAATATCAACTGTGTTCACTGCTGCCTAGTCTTGGCCAGATCAGAGGGGCTTGTCTAAGAAGTCCTTTCCTTCATACCAGTTTTTTACCAAGGTTTGGGGTGGGGCTGTGTTTGTTGAGTCTTCCATATAAAAGGTAAGGATAGAAGGGTCAATTATGTTTCTGAAACCCATTCCTAAGATTCTCAGAGAGTGAAAATTTAGGGGCCTGGTTACTCAATTGTGAAATGTGAAACAGAGAATATACATTTGAGGTAGGTTTCCGGGAAACAACTGTCCTAGGTTATGAGTTCATTCTTTTATCCAATCCATAGTTATTTTAACAGACTTTTTGAGGTATAATTGACATACAATTAACTGTATGCATTTAAACTGTACAACTTGTTAAGTTTTGACACATGCCTGCAATCATAACTGTTATAAAGATAATGAACATATTAATTAACCCTCCTAAATTTCTCATGCTCTTTTCTAATTCTTCCCCACTCCCTCCTACACCCCCTCTACCACCCCCAGACAAGAACTGATTTGCTTTCTGTTACTATAAATCAGTTTGCATGTTCTAGACTTTTATATAAATGGAAAAATACAATCTTATACTCTTTTTCTTCTAGATTATTTGATTTTGCACGATTATTTTGAGATTCATCCATGTCGTTAAGTGTATCAATAGTTTGTTCCTTTTATTGCTGAGTAGTA